AAAAAAAAAAAAAAAAAAAAAAAAAAAAAAACAGAACACAGAGTTTATTCTGTAAAAGAACAAATAGAAGAAAGAGTTTGTTCTGTAAAGAAAAAATAGAAGAAAGAGTTTCTGCCGTCCAACAACTAATTGACGATAGGGCATCAATTAGTTTTCTGCTGCCGTCGCCAAAAAAGTTGACACCTTAAAGAAGTGCATAGCGACAGCAGGAAACAAATCTGACTGTTTAAAATTTTTACTCATGCCTGCTCGTCTCTCTCTGAAATTATCCAAGCACTGTTACGGATTTTGTATTTAGTTGACTATTTTTAGTAGAAATGTAATTAAAATTCTTTTAAAATTGTTTTATATCCCCGTGCAATGCAGCGCGAGACATATTTCAAGAGAAAGCTGCGGCGTAAAAGTAAAAATGACATGCATTTAACATTTAATAAACGTTTATCTCGGTAATTTATATTTAATTTGAATAAATGTAATTGACTACTGTGTTAACTGTAACCGTAATTCTACTCTTTTTGCTTTGCAGAAATTGCTAGTACTAACTCGTGCGACCGATTTTTTGGTGTCAGAAGTGGAATTTGAATGCCAATAACAAGAGCGATGGAGGAAATGTTAAGGCAGTTGGTGGTAGCCTTTGCCGCATTTAAAGAAGAAATGGATGCGAGCCAAGAAGAGATGGAAGCTTGTCAAGAAATGGAAGAGATGGAAGCTGGTTAAAGTAGAGATGAAAGCTGGCTAGGATTCCGTTAAAACAGAGATGAAAGGGGATGTAGTATCTGTTAAAGGAGAAACGAAGCTGTTCAACAAAAGACTAAAGCAGGTCAAGAGGAAATGAGAAGAGAAATTACCTGCGTAATAAAAAAAATTCGACGCTATGGAAGGCAGAATTGACGCGGTTGAAATTAAAGTGGACGCATTGAAACGCTATCCTTTAGTACAGCCAACCCAGATTTCTAAGATTAGATAAGTGATAGGATGTGGTAACCCATAGCATTCGGCAAACTCAATGCAAAAATCTGTAAATTTCAGGAATTACAGTTACAGCTAACATTTACAGCTAATAGTGGTCAATTACATTTATTCAGTTTCAATACAAATTATAGAGATATTCATTCACTCAAAGTTCGGGAAAGAAGGATATTCCAAACAGATATTTTATACATAAATTAATAAGAGAGTATCAACGTTTTAGAGGATTTTTGATGGATTGTTTATTATTGAAGGATAGAGTTTGTTGTGAAAAATGTAAAGCACCATGCGGGTAAGTTAAAAAAAGTAAATCGGTAATTCGGTAAAAGATAAAATAGAAGAAAGAGTAGAGTTTCTGCCGTGGAACAAAAATTGATGACAGTGTTTCTGCGGTCGCCAAAGAAGTTGATACCCTGAAGAAATAGTGATGGTTTTAAATTTTTATCCATAGCTGCTCTACCTCCCTGAAGTCATCCACATATGATGGGAAGTCCTCCTGGCAAATATATATATATATATAAGACACAATTTTCTATAGTGGCGGATACGAATGGATGGGATTCCCAAGCTAAGGCCTGTCATCTCGCCGCTTCTCTGAGCTGCGCTTTGGCGAAAAATGTTTAAAAGACTCCAGTACGCTTCAATTAAAATCTCGTGAACAGAAGCTTACGGAAAGACGCCTGGAGCTCGCCACACATGTTGAAAGGATATCCGATCTTGCCTGTTCGGAGTGTCCGAGAGAAATAAAGGAAATCATGTACAGTACTTTATCTATGGCATCCTGGATCCCGAAGTTCAGAAAACTCTGAGAATAACGGATGTAAAAGATATAAAAAGCGCTCTAGTGTTCGCCATGAAATTTGAGGCAGTCAGCAAGTAACCCGTAGAGACCGCCACCCAATCAGAGCTGCTCAAGTCTAGGAGCCGGTGGATCAAGTCACTACTCGTCTAGACGATTTAAACAGACAACTCAATGCCCTGAGACGGAATATTAGTCACAAGAAATCGACCCTAAAGTGTTGCAGTTGTGGTACTGAAGGTCACACACGACGTAACTGCAGAACACCCCAGGGTACGGAAAATAAGACCATTCTCCATCAACGACGCAAAAAACTAATTAGTGGCCATCTAGTGGGAAGTTCCCAGATAATGAGAAGCCCCCTTTTAAAGCACTTCAGATTTCTGGAATGAGGGGTGGCAGTAATGGACTCTTCATAATGGGACATATAAATGGAGTTTCATGCAATTTGACTATCGGTGCAGGAGCCAACGTTACCACGGTCCGAAAAGATTTGGCTCAGCAACTGAAAGGTACACTTATCTGGACGCCGCCCTGCGTTACCCTCGAGACTGTGTCCAGGAAGAAGATCGACATCGATTGGAAATTAAACGTTGGCATCACTTTCGCAAGTGCCGCCTACCATCACACGGCATATATGCTAGAGATTACAGACCCTTGCATACTCGGATTGGACTTTCTAAGGAAAAACAATTTTTCCTTGGACTTCTAAAAAAAAAAAACGAACTGCATTCTGACTCTGAAGACATAACCCTATTCGCAATTAATGGTGAAATAGTTAAATCTGTCCACAAATTCATAGCACAAGACAATATCACAATACCAGCAAGAACCGAATTTTTACTTCCTCGATCGATAGCCGAAAATAGAAATTTTCGCTACGGCATCATAGAATATCCCAAGAACTGTAACAGCCCGAAAGGCGTATTAGTAGCCTCAGCAATCGTCGACCTGTCGAAGACCGTTAGCTCGGACAGAGTTACCAATGTAATTGATAAAACGTTTATTAAGAAAGGTGAAGTGGTTGCAGCATGTACTCCATTGATCAGTATTAAACAAAAGAGTAACACCTGAGAATCTGTGTCTTCAGAAAACATTACATCACAGTTACTGCAGAATGCGCAATTAAATGATGAAGAGAGGAATGCTGCCGATCGTGTCATTAAAGATCTTCAAGATGTTTTCTCCCGCTCGTTCTCTGACGTGGGTCGAACTAGTTTGACGCAACATAGAGTCGATACCGGTGATCATCCACCAATCAACCAACATCCAAGATGTCTATCGATTGCTAAACAGGAAGAGGTAAGAACACTTTTAAAGCATATGCAAGAAAGCCATGTCATCGAGCCTTCAGCAAGTCCACGGCATCTCCCATCGTCCTCGTCAGGAAGAAAGACGGTTCAACTCGATTTTGCGTTGACTATCGCCGGTTAAACGACGTTGCGAAGAAAGACAGTTAACCTCTTCCTAGTATTGATGACATTCTGGACACACTATCTGGAAGCAAGTGGTTTTCGACCCTTGATCTGAAGTGTGGATATTGGCAAGTAGAGATACATCGTTATCACCAAGAAAAGATGGCATGTACTACGGGATAAGGACTTTCACAGTTCAAGTTGATGCCGTTTAGACTCTGCAATTCGCCGGCTACATTCGAGAGCCTAATGGAGGCTGTTCGGAAAGGTCTTTCCTACGAAGCCTGTCTGATATACCTAAATGATATTATCATCGTCATTTCAACATTTTAGGATAGGAATGATAGTTTCGCGGTTTCTGTTTTATTTCTTGTGATTAGAATAAATTTTATTAACTTTATATCAGATTTGTGCATTCAATCTATGACGAACCCGTACGCACGCAATAACTAATTGATGACAGGGTTTCTGCTGCCGTCGCCAAAGAAATTGACACATTAAAGAAGTACATAGCGACAGCAGGAAACAATTCTTAAGGTTTAAAATTTCTACCCATGCTTGCTTATCCCTCTCTGAAACCATCCACGTATGATGGGAAGACCATCTGGCAAGTATATAAGACACAACTTTCTATAGTTGCGGATATGTTGCAATTTATGATCTTTTTTCTTATTTGTATTTTTTACATTTAACAACATTTGATAAGTGATTTTTTGCTTACCTTTCTTGATGAATATCCACAGGAACGCTTGGAATTCTTTTCCATTTTTATCACACAGAAACTTTATTTACAGCTATGTACAACAATTGTATGCTTACATTAGAACGTTCATCATTTTTCTCTGCTTGCCACTACATCTATATCAAAATCTGCAATGCGGTAAGAAAAAAAAATAACAAGCTAAAAGTAAAAAAGCTGCGCCCATTCGTGGCCAGCTACATAAACTGTAACATTCTCCTCCTCGATGAACTCTTGGCTCATCAAAGGATTGGATTCTGAAGCTATCTTAAACACTAAATGTTTTTTAAGGTTCTACAAGTTTAAATGTTCATAGACGCACAGTGTTCGCAATTTAAATTCACTGTATTCAGTTCAAAGAGTTTAAGTCATTTCTAACGGGTACAATAACCGCACAGGACGACGTAGATGATTTCCATTAGCTAAACGGATAGTGCAGGCCCTTATTTTCCATCTCGTCGTGGATGACACTCCTGTACAACTCCCATCTTCCATAATAATCTTGATAGTTTTTCTTCATGTACTAGAACTACAGATCCTTCAAAAGATCTGTTACGGCATTACCTCTCTGAATTTGTTTTTCATTTCTAATTTTAAGTAAGTATTCTCTTTTCCATCTTTTCCAAAAACCTTCTAATAACCATAGTCGGTATTGATATCGTCTTGTTAAATTTTATTTAGTTGAATCCGGTTCAAGAAATTTGCCAGATGGTAAAGATGTCAGTCTTCGTCCAACTAGAAAATGAGTTGGTGTCAGCTGGTCCGCTATAAACAAAGTCAGCGGACGTGAATTCAAAATTGCCTCAATTTCAATTAAAATTGCTTCCGCTCTTCAAATTTAAGTGAAGCTTTCATGAGTATTTTCTTCAAGCATGACTTGATAGATCTAACAAGCCTTTCCCAGAAACCGCCCCACCAGGCCGCCTTTCCCACATTGAATTTCCACTTAATACCTTTATTACCAAAATAATTTTGAACTTCTGTGTCCTTGATGGTATTCCATAGTTTTTGTAAATTCTTGTCTGCTCTTTTGAAGGTTTTTTGCATTGTCTGAATATATCATGTATACAGACATATATCATGTATACAGAGCGCATGTATACAGAGCAAAATAAGCCTTCCCAGTTTCATCCTTTGTACTCATAGGACCAGCAAAATCAAGTTCTACAACTTCGAAGGGATTTGCCTCTGTTATTTTTTCGGTTGGTAAAGGAGCAATATCCTGACTTAGTTGCTTAGCTTTAAATCTGTAGCAAACCACACACTTGTTAATATTACTCTTTACACGCTGTTGACCCTTTAGTATCCAAACTTTTTCTCTAACTTCAGTTAAAGTTTCAGCTACACCAGCGTGTCTTTGCGTTTCGTGACAATCCTTAATGATATGATCTGTCAAATGAGATTTCTCAGATAATATTGCTGGGTATGTTTGATTATAACTTAACCCAGCATTTTGAAGCCTTCCACCTACTCTGAGTATTCCATCTGAGTCTACAAATAGATTTAATGTAAATATTTTCGAACTATCTACGCTTTGTTTCATCTTTAATTTCCTTATTTCTTTAAAATTTTCTTCCTGAGTTTTCTTGATCCAGAAATTCTCTACTATAGTCATCTCTTCAGGCTTGACAGATCCAATTCTTCTTAGTTTTGGTTTTTTCACATTATTGATAAATCTGAAAACATAAGATGTTATTCTATATACTTTATTTATGTCACTGAAGTTTTCGATAGGAATGATAGGTTCGCTGTTTTCAACAATACAGTTTGCTGTTAAGATTTCTTGTTTCTTTCCTTTTCGTTTCGCAGAATTTGTTATTTTATCATCTTCATTAAAATTTTTCGAAGATCTGGGCCAAAAGTTGTTATCTTTAACAAGCCAAAGGGGGCCATACCACCACAGTTCATTGTTTGAAAGGGTTTCTACCTTCTGCCCTCTCGTCAATAAGTTCGAAGGATTCTCATGGCTGGGACAATAATTCCACCAATCTTGATCAGTTTTCTCTTGGATTTCTACACACCTATTTTGTAAAAATTGTTTCCATTTCGTCGGATCAGCCTTGACCCAGTGTAGTACAATTTCTTAATCTGTCCACATATAAATCTTCATTTCTATGTTTTTCAATGAATGTCGAATGTATGTGATGAGTCGAGCTTCTATGACCGCTCCTAAAAGCTCCAGTCGAGGTAACGTAACCTTTTTATGGGAGCAACTCTTGCTTTGGACATAACAAATGATGTTTTTGATAGCTCATTTTCATTGTATCTCAAATATGCAACGGCACCATATCCCTTTTTGCTACTATCTGTAAAACAGTGCAACTGAATATTCGATATATTATTTTTTGACAGACTGTTGAAATAATGTCTTGGAATTTCAACATTTTCTAATTTAGAAATTTCATTATATCAGGTTTTAAATAGGTTTTGCAATTCTTGGTCAAGTTGTGCATCCCATTGGTATCCTCTTTGCCAACATTCTTGCATCATCATTTTAGCTGTAACAACAAAGGGCGATATGAAACCGATAGGATCGTATAATACGCCTCTAACTTGAAGAATCTTCCGTTTTGTTATTTCCTCAGCCGGATCTTTGAGTAATTCATCTTTGATTCGAAATTTCAGTCTATCTGCTTCATAATTAAAAATATATCCTAACAAAGTACTATTCATTCCGTCTTCCTTAAGCTTTGTATTTTCAGCCGCATTCCAAATCGCATGTAATTGGGCGTTATTGATCCTCCACTTTCTCATATTGAAACTAGCAAGCATCAAAATCCTTTTCACATTTTCATAAATTTCTGCATTTTCTTCATCATCTGTACCATGAATCAAATCATCTACGTAAATAGTTTCTTCTAGAAGTTGATAGATCTTCGAATATTGTGCTTTCAACTTTCTTGCGTGATGCTTTATAGTTGCTGCTAGTAAAAAGGGGCTACAGGTTGCTCCGAATATTACACGCACCATTCTTAAAATCTTCGGTTGCTTCTTTTCTTTTGCAGTCCAAAGAAATCTTACTATATTTCTGTCCTCAGGCTTCAACAGAATTTGTAGCTTCGATATCTGCAGCAAATGCTATTTTGTGTTAATGAAAATTAATCAGCAAATCTAATAATTCAGGGATTAAATTTGGTCCTGAATGTGAGCAATCATTTAAAGATAGACTGTCATGAGTATGCGAGGAAGCATCAGATACGACCCTTAATTTCGTAGAATCGTGATCTTCTCTGATTACACAATGGTGTGGCAAATAATAGATGTTTTCTGCAGAATTCTTCGGAGACTTTTCAGCTATTCCTTTATTTAGATAATCTTCAATTGCGCTTGAGTACTTTTCATAAATTTCAGGATTTTTCTTAAACTTTCTAAGTAAACTTCTCCATCTGTTTAAGGCGATGTTATAATTACTACCCATTTTGTTGACATTGTTCTTACAGGGTAATAAAACTTCATAACGATTGCTTTTGTATTGAATTGTTTCTTCAAATCACCGCATAACTTCAATGTCATTTTCATTTGTTGTATATTCAAGTATTCCAATTGCATCTAAATTTCATAGTCCTTTTAAAAGTGCACTACTTTCCAAATCATGTGCATGAGAAATATTCTCAACAACATTCATTACCGTAATTCTGGAATGAAGTGCAGAAACATAACTTAACGCTTCATGTCGCGTTTGCTTACTAAAACTTTACTTCCACGAACGCCCTCTGGCGAAAGAGACTAAAAGTAGTCAGTTGAACGGCTGACGCGTCTAACAGATGTTGAAACGATAGACCGTCTCCGTATACACAATACTTGTATTCATTATAACTTGTAAATATTTTGTAGATATCTTTCATATGAATTGAAATTTCTTAAAAAAAGTTTATAGCTGTGTTCCGCAGTGAATCTAATTTCATCATAGAGACGGATACCGACAAGAAGGAAGAAGGCAGTTCAAAGCAACCCTATTTAGAAGGTAAGTGAACTTTCACTTATCTATTTAATGATCTAAAAATTTTAATAGTACAAAGTTGATAAAATTTTTAACACTTCAGTTCCACTTATAGTGTAACCAAATAAGGTTTCAAGAGGCAACAAGACCATTTGATAATCTTTTAACCTTCCCAGTGACTATTTTCCAGTAAAAATCATTACCAATTAATAATGATATTTGAGAGTTATGGCCACCTATATTTGTAGCATCAGCAAGTCTTATCGAACTTTCCTTACAATAATTAAGTATTTCCTTTCCTGGAATACCAATAACAGCTTGGTTAATTTCTGGTTAACAGCTTGGTTAAGAGCTTCAATCATTATTTTCTCTGGTCCACATATATCTTTAAGAATAACCTTAACCTCTTTTTGCCTTTTAACTATAGGCTCAATAGAGTCGAAGGTGTAAATCTGAAGTTCTTCCCCCACAGCACTTAATTTTAATTGTTTTGATACTTCTGTCAGGATGAAAGATTTATGAGAGGCAGAATCGAAAATGAGTCTTACATTTTTCTTCTATTCTGACTTAAAGTAAATGCATTTTCAGTAAATAAACACTATTTTTGTTATCTCTTTCCGAAATTGACGCCACCACTGTGTCTGTTTTAAACTTCACCTTTATTTTCCAGTTTATTTTCAAATTTATTATCATGTAAAATAGTAGTATGCCTTAATGAACATACACTGCTCGACATTGAAAATGCAACACCAAGAAGGAGTGGTCAGAAATTAGAGTAGACGCACGTCACTGAGTTATGCGAATGATGTGAAATGCGCAGCTCTCCGACGCACGTGAAGTAAGATATAAGGGAAGGAACGTGCAGAATGGGCAATATTCGTTTCGTTATTTTTGCCAGACGAATTATTGAAGAATGTTGGTTTTTGTCAGGGAGGATACGTGTAATAGGAGAGAATGCCAGGCCGCCGTCAACGAAGGGCACTTCCAGCAGATAGACGATTTTGATCGGACTGAGAAGGGCGGGTTGGTCCTTACGTCAAATCGCAGCTGATACCGACATGGATGCGGTAACTGTCGGCCGTGATGTTTGCTGTGTTTGTTGCGCTTGTGTAGAAGGGCTTATATATTTGTGCATTCTGATTTTTGGTGTCTAAAACTGCTTTATTTGGAATCTACAGGCCTTTCGGGTTGTGAAGATGTCTTATTTTTGAAAATTTGAGGATTTTTTACCGAGTTACGAGCATTTTAGGATTCATGCGTGTTTAGGGGCTCATTTGCATATGACTTTCAAGTTTTGGCCTGTATTCTTTTACATCGACTTGGTGAAGTACTTTTTGTTTTCATATTTAGTTTCTATACATCTTTTGCTATCTGTATGGTGAATTTGATTCAATTTCATGGCCTATTTTTAAAGTTATTTGTATTTGAAAATTTGATACTACGTTTTGTTTACGTTTGAATCTTTGTGATTTTGCACCGCGGGCATGTCAACTTTTAGCCAACAGGAAAATATTGAAAATTCTGATTTTTAAATGTTATGGCAGGAGAGACTTATATATAAGTGGGTGCATTGATTATATATGTTTTTCAGCCCGTTGTACAATTTTTGGATTTTTCGCATGTAAGATTGATTTTACATTTTACTATGAATGCTTTTGAGATTTGAGGTGTTTTTAAGTATTTTTGATTATTTTAATTTGTAAATCTCAATATTTTCAGCTTTTAAGGCGTTTTTAATTTTATTTACTCCTGATATTTATAAAATTGGATTGTTCGGATGCTAAAGCTGGATGGATTTAATTGTGTTGTAAAAACGTTTTTGATGCGTTTTGCAATCATCTTAATTTTGTAGAATGTATATGTTTTTGTGTGTGTTTCTGTTTATGTGATACAAACCACTCTGTATTTTACTGAATTTTATTGTACATATGAGATTTCTTGTCATTTTATCTAACTTTAAATTGTAATTATTGTAAATCTTACATTTGTATATATGTTTTTATTTTGAAAATTTCAATACGGCCCCGTCGCAGTTATATTAGTGAATAATAGTGTGAACTTTTCGTGATTTTTGTGATGAGTCAACTGAAGAGCAATAAGGAGAGTAAGCTTCTGGAAGCTGAGGGAGAGACTTTATATTTAAATATTCTCAACAACATTTCATTTTTGACGGAGAGTTCGGATGAAATAAAAGAAATTATTAACTGTGGTAATGATAGACCTAACGATGAAGGAAAAATTGAGACCGTACTCGTTGCTGTTAGATCATTATGTGATTTTGTAGACAAGTTAAAAGCTAGACGAGTCTCACGGGAAATTACCGATGGTCTAGATAGAAGAATAGATAGAGTTTTGGATTTGCTTGTCTCACCGAATTTAAAGACTATTGAAGAAGACATGGTGCAATCAAGAACCAATATTTTATTTGATATTAAACAGGATATAGATGAAATTAAGGTTGTTTTGCAGAAAGATCGAGATACATGTGAAATGAGGGATAGAAAGAATAAAGTATTGGATGTAAATGATTGGAGAGAAAATGAATTAATAGTTAAACCAGCTGCGAATGGCGTTGGTGTATACGAGGAGTTAATTGCTAACATTAGACCAGAGGATGTTGATATAAAAATAATGAGCTCCCATACGAGAAAGAATGGTGATTTGGTGATGAGGTTTAAAAATAGCAGAGAAGTAGACACGGTACAGAATGTTATTGAATCCAGCGAAAATTTAAGGGATAAACTTTATACAAGGAAGAAAAGGTTTATACAATCGAAGATTATTGTATATGGCGTATGCAATTTAATAGATGATAAGGAGATTATGGTAAAAATGAAGGAGGAGTGCTTTTGTGATGGAAGTTGTCTTCGTCCTCTCTCTAGACAAAAATGTAAAGAGTCCGACGAGATTTCTCATCGCGTTTTCCGTGTAGACCAGGGGTGGCCAAACTTTTTTGATCATCGCCCCCTATATAATTTTTCGAAATCTCCATAGACCCCCACAAAGGTAATTTTCAGGTAATTAAAATAAAACTATATATTAGTCTAAATATTAATAAATCAGAAACAGTAAGTAAAGTAGCTACAGATATTTTACTTCTTAATGAGACGACTGTGCCTGGTGTTTCTTGGCAAGGTTCGCTATATTGCGTTCGCTGAATTAAGTCAATTTTAACCGTACAATCCCCTCAATTTTAAGCTCCCCATTTAATGTACTTTTGTTTTTAGTTAAAATTGAATTAATGTGACTGAAACCCGGGTTCAACCATATACGAACTTAGAAACGCCAGCATAAATGGCTGAGCCATTTCGTAAAATTTTCACATATTTTTGCTTTATATTTATATTAGTCCAAAATTCATGTATTGTCAAATTTTTAATAAGCGTTTTTGCTTCAAGATCGGACAATCAGTTCAGCAAGCTCATCTTGTATGTTGATGTCGACGTTATCAATTTGCGCCGAAAATGGCGCAATAATCCAATCAGGGATTGTCGATGTTTTTCCAAATCAACAAAGCGCAGTTTAAAATCGTCGCTTAATTTTTGAAGAGATGATTTGTATATATTTCCAAGTCTTCTTTTATTTTTAATTGTTGCAGATTTGAAAAATACTTATAATCCTTACGTAGCAATGAAGATCTAAATAAATTTTAATTTTACTTGGAAGCCTAACAGTATTGTCCGAGCTTGGATAATTGGTTACATCTTTTCCTTGCAGTTTTGTTTGAACGTCA